CTGCACGATTCTCATCCCGCAGTTTTCATCGGTTTCAACAAATCATGAATTAGACGTTCAGCTCTTTCAGGACAATCCTGCTATGACTTTTGGTATTGGTGCAACTTCAGCTTTTTTTAAATATTTAGCCTTTTCTAGTTTTTTTTTCCCCCCTCATAGAAAATGACTTGATCTCATTTTACATCCTTCAGATCTTTAGATCTGTTTACATTTTACTGCTCCTTTCACATTTTGTTCTGCTTCAGCTTCTTTCAGCTTCCTTGTACAAATTTAAACTTTTTTTTTTTTTTAGCAATTTTCAGTTAAAATCAGCTGAGGTTTTTTTATCCTTTCAAATCCTTTCTGCTAACCAAAACATTTTTGTGCCCTTCTAAATTCTTTATGCTAATTTCAGATGGTTATACTTTCAGCTTGCAAGTTTCAGCTTTTTCTGCTATTTCAGCTACTATTAAGTTGCTAATATGCTCATTTTAGCTTTTTCAGCTAATTCCACATTTTTGCACTCGTTTAATTTTTTTTCAGCCTTACTGAGCAAAAATGTGATCTCTCCATTTCCTTCTGGTAATTTTAGCTTCGTTTTATATTTTTAGCTTTTCGTCCAGTTTTTTTTTTTTGTTGTTGTTGCTAATTTCAGCTTTTTTTTTTCCAGATAATTTCCACATTTTTGTGCTCATTTTTGCTTCTTTCAGCCTAACTGGGCAATCATGTTCTTTCTGCTTTCTTCTGCTAATTTAAGCTTGTTCTACATTTTCAGCTACCCCCCCCCCCCCCCCCGTTTTTAAATGTTATTTATTTATCCATTTTTAGCTACTTCCAGTTGTTTTCAGATAAATTAATTTTTTGTGGTAATTTTTGCTACTTTCAATCTGACTTCTTTCTGTTAATTTCAGCTTCTCGTGCTCCTTTCCACTTTTTTTCAGCAATTTCAGCGTTTTCTGCTATTTCAGCTACTATTTAGCTGTTTTATTTAATTTTTAGCTTTTTCAGCTAATTCCACTCTTTTTAAATCTAATTTCAGCACTTTCCACTTCCTTCTCATAGGCTAAGCTTCTTTCTGCTTTTTCAGCTACTTTTGAGTTTTTGTTTCCTCCTAATTTTAGTGTTTTCTAGTGGATTTCCTAACATGTGTGCTCATTTCTGCTTATTTAAACCTAATTCAGCACGTACGTGTTCTTTCTGCTTTCTTCTGCTAATTTAAGCTTGTTCGTTCATTTCAGCATGTTTTTAATTTCAGTTGTTTTTCAGCAAGTTCTTTAGCAATAAGCATTTTCACTGCATTTTTGCAGCTGCTCTAATTTCTCTAGTTACGTTTGATTTTCAGCATTTTTGTATCTGGAATAAACATTTCAAAAAGGAGAGAAAATAGGAACCAAAGTTATATTTGACCTTGCAGAAATATAAAATGCATTTTTAAAATAAATAACTATTTATTGTCCACTGCAGATCTTCATTTGTCAGTACAGCCTAAGCAAACACTTTGGGTTATCAAATGGACCAAGCAGATTAAATGTGGTGTCAATGAGTGTGCATATGAATAATTTGTTACTCAAATTTGTATTCAGCCAACAGAAATTCCAATTAGTGAATATTTTCCCTGCAAACTGGAGCATGGTGTTTTATTCATCCGTTTGGCAAACTGTAAAAGTGAATAAATTCTGAGCATTGATCCTGAGCGGACCCACCGCTGTATCCTCCAACATACCTGCAGCTCTCAGAGCCGTGGGGTTATTTTTTTTTTTCATCAACACTCTGGAAAAACACGTTTTATTCTTCAGTCAGGAAAACAAAAATAAAGCGGAAAGATCTGCAAGTGTGGATGCGTTCTTTGCAAACTGTAGTTTTTCTTGTGAGGATCTCTTCTCTGCATTCTTACAAGGTTTAAATAAAACATCAAGGTGAATTTTTATTTGTAACTTTGAAAGTGAGTGACCTCAAATTTAATGACCCATGCAACGAAGACTAATCAGTTTTCTGACAAGGATTTTTTTTTAACCACAACAATTCGAATTAATATACCAAAAATTAAACATGTTGCATGGTTAAGCTCACTTTACACCGAGTGTCATGGAAACTTTGATTTGCTTTCTAATTTTGTGAGTAATTTTTGCACTTGCAGTAATAAAAACTTTACCGTACTTCCCGCCATACACGTCACACTGCCGTATAAGTCGCGTCAGTCCAAATATGATTAATAAAGTGGAAAAAAACATAAATATGTTGCCTCGTCGTATAAGTCACATCTATTATGCTTCACCACTGAACAACCGGAAATGTGGGCTGGTGTTGTGTCAAAAATCGATTGGCTGCGGGAACGTGCACTGGAGGACTTTAACAAGAATGTAACAAGATTGACAATTAAAAACAATTCTTTGTTTGCTCAACATTATAGCAAAGGTTTGTTTCAGTCAAACTTTTTTCCTTAATAAATGCACTTTAATGGTCAAATCAGCTGCATTTCACCTGGGTGGCGCAGCGAAATGCAGCTGATTTGACGTTTGCTTCAGGAGTTCCAGAGCGAGATGAAGGTGGCTCTGTATAGCAAGCCAAGTGTCTCATTAATAGCCACTTTTACCTATTAAAGAGACACTTTGCTTGCCGTATTAGTCGAGGGCCCTCTAGTGGCTGAAAATGGTAGTCCAACATTTTTCAGTCTGGTCATCTGGACAGTTTTTTTTTTTTTTTCTGAAACGTTTCGCCTTCGATCCGGAAGGCTTCATCAGTCAAGGAAACGCACAACGAAACTGATTCTTCCCCCAACAGCTTACTTCAAAGTGAAACAAACCAGTTATGTTGATGCTAAGATGGTCTCTTTGGCACACCCCTCTTCCTTGTTGACAGTCGTGTCAAACTGGTTGAAAACAACAAACTGTCCAGATGACCTGACAAAAAAATGTTGGATTGTATACCTGGATTACTGAGCATGGATTTTGTTGTTTTCAACCAGTTTGACAAGACTGTCAACAAGGAAGAGGGCCGGCAATGAAGGAGGGGGCGTACCAAAGAGACCATCTTATCTCAAGCAGAACTGGTTTGTTACACTTTGGAGTAAGCTGTTGGGGGAAGAATCAGTTTTGTTGTGCGTTTCCTTGACTGATGAAGCCTTCTGGATCGAAGGCGAAACGTTTCGGCACAAAAAAAAAAAGAAACAGTCCAGATGACCTGACTGAAAAATGTTGGATTGTATACCTGGATTACTGAGCATGGACTTTGTTGAAAATGGTAGTGTTCAATATTTTCCATGTCAGAATGAATGGAATCGTCAGACTTCGGCCAAAAATTTGTTATAAATATGGGAAGAAAACGTAAAAATGTTGCTTCGCTGTATAAGTCGAAGGCATGCTCATTTATGCAAAAAACTGCAACTTATACAGTGAAAAATATAAAATATGACTGTCTCACATGGCCTTAAAGATAAAATGCTTGTTCTGTTCTACAACCAGGAGAAAAGCAGCGTGCGAACTCTGGATTTTGAGGTTGCTGCGGCTCTCGGGGTGCAACGCTCCTTCGAGTCAACAGCAGATTTATGCACCGCTAATGATGCTGAGCTAAGTTATCCCTCATATTAACCAAGATTGGTCTTGTTTAAGAACGCGTATCTAAATCGAACAGTAAACGTTGCATGTGACATGCAACAACCAAACTGTAAACCTCATGTTTCAGGATTTGTAGGTTTTTTACAGAATCAAGACGTTTCAAATTGAATTTAAAAACGAGTGGAAATGAATTGATAAAAGCAGAACAACTTGTTTCGGGCTGACCTACATTCCCTTTGCTTTATGTCTGAGCCTTGCTGTCTCCGACAGGCCTAGCCGGGCAGTACATCTCAGATTGGTGTGAAATCGACGCCTAACAGGCGGGAAATTGGCTCCGTTATTTTTGGAGCAGAGTCATGGGGGACCGTCGGACCATCATCCTCTCTCTAATGAGCAGGTGATGGAGAGGCTCTGTGCACGTGGCAGATGCACAGATGAGAGGGAATGCACCAATGCGAGAGGAAAAACCAGAAGAAATGCTGAGATTTCTTAGAGCTACTACGAATATGAGCGCCAGATGTTTGATGATGCTGCTGGACTCTGCTGAACGCAGTCTGGAGGGAGGTGTTTGTTGAGGCCCAATCTTCTTTTTGTCTGAAAACTTACATTCTGCCCGACATAATCCTCCTCAGCAACAATATTTACCACTATAACACTTCCCTAACCTTCGATTTATAATGCACAGAAACTAAAAAGACTGAGCTGTTATCGTTTTTATTCCGTCTTCAGACATTACAACACTTGGTGCAATGGTTTATCTTCCATCACTTCATAGCATCGAGGAACAACCTCAGCTGTCCTCATCATCCCCTTAACTTTAAAATATAACTTTTAGCTGAAACTAAACTGGATTTTCGGCGTCCACTGCCTTTATGGTCTGAATTCCTCGCAGCCAGTTGAGGCAGATGGCCGCCCATCCTCAGCCGGTCCTGCTGGTTTCTTCCTGTAAAAAGTTTTTCCTTCCCACGGTCACCAGTGCGATAGTTCAGGACTGAGGTCGAGACCTTTGTTGTGAATTGGTGCTATATAAAGAAACTGATGACTTGGATTACATTAAGCAAAAACTGGTTTGATCTTCATACAAACATCTGAAACATGATTTATAGACACTCAACACCGGGAGTCTATAATTTCAGATGTACCATGAAGAAAATGTGCTAAAAGACGATAAAGTGTTCTAATATGATCCTAATCAGCTCAGCTTCTCCTACATCCTGATTTCTGTGATGAATTCAAAGCTGTCTGCTCAGAGAAATGGTCAAATTATTATTTTTATATATGAATGTTTATGTTCAGTGCCCTGAGACTTCTGTTGTGACTTGGCGCTTTATAAATAAACTGAATTGAATTACATTCATCTCGACAAACCAGAGCAACACCCTCATTACATTTAAAACTTTACAGGCTGCAGCTGATAGGTGGACCGATAGCCATCAGTTGAGAAATCACTGGATTAGGTTTTTTTTTTTATTATTTTAACTTCAATTAATCCAACCCCCAACCACAACAGAAAATGGGTGTGTTCACGAGTTAAATGATCCTGCAATCAGTCACAAAAATATAATTTTAAAAACTAGAAACGGAGATCAACAGAAAGCTTAAATCGTATCATCTGGACCAGTTTCAGTGAGAAATGTTCCGTCCCCCATCCAGAGGACTTCTGATATATATATATAGATAAATATAGATCTAAACTCAACACGTACAAGCCAACAGATTTTTCCTGATTAAATGGCATTGCACGTGTTGAGTTTTATTAACAGAAAAGTGTTGGAGTGAAATTCTTCAGATTAAGGACTAAAGTATGAAAAGTAAAACAAGACGGATGAAACGCTGAGTCAGCATTTAGTCAAAACTGCAGCTGAAAACTCCCAATATCACAAAGCCTTTTGTTTTAAATAATCTTTATCACCCAGAAGATGGAAACCAAACCACCTCTGCACTCGGCTGATCCTTCAGCAGCTCCACGCTGCCCCCTACTGGCACACGATCAATGGAGCGAAATCATTTGCTGCTTTTCACTCCATCTTTCATCGTTGAACTTTTAACAAATTAAAATGAACAAGTTCCTTTTTGTTAAAACCGTCTGCCTCGTTCTTGTTTCTACGCCGAAGCCATCCTTCACAGTGTCCGTGCCGCTGCAGTCCTCAAGCGTCAGATGAGTTCGCTCTCGTGGCGAGCCATAGCTGGAGGTAGCGTGGTCCCGCAGGGTCCGTGGAAGTGGAACCTGCAGACAAACGGCTCCGTCACGCACTGGAAGTCACTGTGACGTAGAGGAGTAAAAAAAAATGACGTGATGGTAAACGATACGTGCTTGAAGCGCTCGGTGGCCGGAGTGTTTTCCATGTTGAATTCGGCCACAGGAACGCCTCTGGCGGCCACCTGAGGAGCAAACATGGCCGCCGGGTACACGACCGACGAGGTGCCGACCTGCAGGGAAACAAACGGGAACAAAACGGTCAATCGGTGCGTTCAATGACCGCATTCTGACGTTGGCTTGTACTAAATTTAACACCTACAACAAACGTTCCTTCAAGAGCTTAAAGAAATTGATGAAAATGATTGAGAGGAAAAAATAATTTAAAAAAATCAAATTCTGGCTAAAGCTTCAAACTGATGATCAACATCACAAATGATAAACTCTTGGAAGCAAACTAAAAGAAACGAGGTATGACTCAAGATTTATGCACAATATTTCACATCCTCGACATATTTCAGCTGCAACTAACAAAAGTCCAAAAGGTTAATAAAGGTTACAATAAAAAATCAGAGCTAAAAGCTTAATTTAGCACAAATGTAGTCAAAAGCTTAAACTTGCAATAAATAAGTAAATAAAACTCAATTAAGCCAAACTATAGCTAAAAAGCTAAAAGTAGAAAAGCTTTAACTTGTGGGTAAAATTTGCGAAACCTTAGCTAAAGAGTAAAATTAAAAAAACTGTAGCTAAAAGCTGAAATGAGCACAAATGTAGCAAAAAGCCTAAATTAGCTAAACGGAAGTTAAAACGAAATGAAGCCAAACTATAGTCAACAGCTAAAAGTAGCAAAGCTTCAGCTTACAGGCAAAATATACAAAACCTCAGCTAAACTGTAAAATTATAAAAACTGTAGCAAAAACTAAACAATCAAAGGTAAAATTAGGAAAAGAACAGCTAAATTAGTAGCATCGAGTGCAATAAAGGTGGCTAAAGGCTAAAAGGAGCGAGTATGTTGAAGCAGATTTAGGACGATGTTTTTGAAGGAGCTGAAGAGATTTAAAGTTTGTAAGGGAAATATTTTTGTAAATAAAGTTTAAATTTGTTTTAAAGTATAAAAGTTACAAACACTTAAAGTCATAGCGCCATATTTCTGAACGTGTTGACGTAATGGGTTAAATAGCTGAAGGTTTGCTGATTTGCAAGTCATGGGCTGCACGGTGGCGCAGTTGGTAGAGCTGCCGCCTCTCAGTGAGAAGGTCGATGGATCAAATCCCAGTTCGGGGGCCCTTCTGGGTGGAGTTTGCATGTTCTCTCCATTCTGTGTGGGTTTTCCCCGGTTACTCCGGTTTCCTCCCACAGACCAAAAACATGCATGTTGGGCTGATTGGTAACTCTAAATTGTCCCTAGGTGAGAGAGAGAGAATGGTTGTTTGTCTCTTTGTCTCTGTGTCCTGTAGATGTCCCCATCTCTCCCACAGTGACTGCTGGACACGGGCACCAGTGACTCAAAAAAGGAAGAAGCAGGTAAAGGTGATGGATGGATGTTCAGTCATAAAATGAATTGACACAATGGAAAAAATGAACAGGTGTGGGTGCATAGTCAACGTTTACGCGCCGGTCTGTTCACATGAACGCACCACGAGACAGAGGTCACAGGTGTCCAACACTTGTTCTGCACGGGAGAGGATGTCGGAGTCCAGAGTCTCTCCAAACCAGACTATAGCTGGTCTCAGGAGGCCGTTACAGCCCCCCTCTTCACACCTGGAACACACACACACACACACGCAGTCTAAACAAACACGTCTGGGGAAAAAAACCTGAGCAACAGAAGAGCCTGAACGCGTCGTACCGAGGAAGCTGCTCGACAGGAATCCAGGCGTCGTGTGTTCCCGGCTCTGGAGCCCTGAGGAGACATTCAGAAATTCGGTTTACGTTCACGCCCATTCAGCGTTTCACAAACACGGATGAAAAGCAGAAACGTAAACCAGGTCAAAGTAAGAAAGCAGAGCTGCAGGAAGGTCTGCTCTCCGCACTCGACAAAACAAAGACGGCTTTTCATTTTCAATAAAAACTTGAAAGCCTCTCGTTCGCCTCGCCTGTTCAGAGCATTTTCTCCTGGAAGGACTGAGAATCGACTCGCTCTAAACACCCAAATCCTTTCTGCTCCTGCATAAACAAAGACGAACCCCAAAAGATATCGGCCCTAATCAGCAGATCAATCAGATCTGGACTTAATGACGGTTTCAGGGAATAATTGTGTCTTTGTAACGGGACAGCTGTCAGCGGTGACAAACGTCCGGTTTAAATGTCAGCTAGAGAGACGGAGAGCGACATTTGATTTGAGGCATCCGGTTATTTAGCTCCCTGACATTCGGCTGACGGATACGGACCCGTTTCTCTGGCATTTCCCGCTCGAACGTCTGCGATCGATATCTCCTCCAACATATTCTGGCAGCGTGGAGGAAAACTGTCGAGGTGACCCGAGGAGACGGGACGAAGAGCTTACCCTTTGCCCTGCAGAGCGGCACAAACGGGGCTCCTGTGATTGGCCGCCTCGTGGCCACAGGTCATGCAGCGCGTTTTAAACAAGCTGCCTGCAGTCAAAACAACAACAACAAACAACAACAAACACGTTAATTAAGACCAAACAAGTCTTAAGGTTCTGATTTAGATATTTACCAAGTTCACTCTATAAATCTTTTAAATTTATGGATTTACTGGAGTTTTTTAAAATGTATTTGTTTTTCGGCTGCTCCCTTCTTCAGAGGTCGCCACAGCAAAATAACTCTCACGAAGACTTGGCGACCTTTTCTAACCTCTGCACCACCACTCCCACTCTTGCTTTACTGGACTTAAACCTTTTAAATAACTTTGACAAATCACAAATCTAACTAAGACAAAAGAAAAACACTTTTCCTCCTGTGCTACTTTTAACTTTAAGCTACCCTTTTGTTATTTTAGCTACCATTCTGCAGCCTTTAGTTAGCTTTTTCTATCATTGGCTAGTCTTTAACTACTTTCAGCTAACATTTTGCTACTTTCATATTTGTTACTTCTAACGTTTAGCAATTAAGCTAGCAATCTACTGTTAGCTTTTAGCCACTGCTCTGATAAATGTAGCTTTCAGCTACCAATCAACTACATTTAGTTTTTGGCTGTTCTGCTATTTTAAATTTTAGCAAGCATTTTCTATTGTTGGCTAGCTTTTTACCTAATGTTTTGCTAATTTTAGCTACCCTTTTGCTACATTTATATTTGTTGCGTTTAGCTTTTAGCATTTAGTTTACTTTTAGTTTTTAAACATTTTATACTTTTAGCTTTTAGTTACATTTTTGTTAAATAGGTGCATCTAAAAAACTTCATGAAAAAGTTCAATTTTTTTTATCAATAACTTCACAAAGTGACTCCTATATTAAGTAGATTAAAACATGTCAAGCCTTTATTTATTATATTTTGATGATTATAGTTTACAGATAATGGAAACAAACAAAATTATTTCTTAGAAAACCAGAACAGTGAAGATGTTCGATGTTATAAACTCCTGGTGTCACAGACTGATCAGCTTCACAATCATCTTATCTTTTTAGATGAATTAACTTTTAGATTAGTTTTTGCTCCTTCTTGCTATTTTAATACCTTTACAAAGCCTTTTGCTACTTTTAGCTAGCCTTTTGCTACTTTTAGCTAGCCTTTTGCTACTTTTAGATGGCCTTTTGCTACTTTTAGATGGCCTTTTGCTACTTTTAGATGGCCTTTTGCTACTTTTAGCTTCTAGCTACAGTTTTGCTACTTTCAGCTTTTCATTACTTATCTAGATAGCTTTTACTACTTTTAGATAGCCTTTTGCTACTTTTAGCTAGCCTTTTAGTACTTTTAGCTTCTAGCTACAGTTTTGCTACTTTCAGCTCTTAGTTACCTTATCTAGATAGCCTTTTACTACTTTTAGCTTCTAGCTACAGTTTTGCTACTTCCAGCTCTTAGTTACCTTATCTCAGAGAGTCAGAGTCAGAGTTTCTTTATTGTCATTCGCACCTCATGTGGTGGAACGAAATTATGTACACAGGGTCCCAGTTACATCCAACAATAAAATGTATAAGAAAAACAGTAATAACATCTAAGATATGAACTAAGAAAAACATCAACTAAATATACACTAAGCACTCATAACATAAAACATTGAACATCAGCACAAACATGAACATGAGTCTGTGAGCAGATGTGCACGCATGAACACATCAACATTGAAACAGATCAGCAGCAACATGAAACAGATCAGCAGCAACATGATATGGTTTTTCACAGTGATTATTCTAGTTAGAGATTCATGAGTCTAACAGCCTCAGGGTAGAAGCTGTTCCTCAGTCTAGTGGTTCTACACTTAATGCTCCTTAACCTCCTTCCTGAGGGGAGTGGGGCAAAAAGTGTGTGTGCTGGGTGGGTGGGGTCCTTCATGATGCAGGTGGCCCTCTTCCTGCATCTGGAGGTGTAGATGTCTGTGATGGTGGGGAGGCTGATTCCGACAGATTTCTGTGCAGCCTTCACCACTCTCTGCAAAGCTTTTCTTTCTGCAGCTGTGCAGCCTCCATGCCACAC